GGCTGATCTCCGAGGGCTATGCTGCAGGCCCAGGAGACATCTCTCCCGACTGGTCCCCAGAGCGCTGTCCGCCGCCAGAGCCAGCCAGTCGGGCCAGCCCCTCCCTGGGCCCGACCTCGCTGCGGACGCCCCGCGCCCTGCGCCCGCCCGGCCGCAGCCCCGCCGCCACTGCCCCCGAGGAGCCCTGGGGCCGCGAGGGGCCAGCGCTGCTGCTGCTGTCGCGCTTCTCCCAGGCTCCCGACCCCAGCGGGGCGCTGGTGACCGGCCAGGCCCTGTGCGGCCTGCTGGCCTACGTGACGGGCGCGCCGGGCTCGCCGAGCCCCCGCGCGCTGCGCATCCTGGCGCGGCTCACCTGCAACCCCGCCTGCCTCGAGGCCTTCGTGCGCAGCTACGGGGCGGCGCTGCTGCGCGCCTGGCTCGTGCTCGGTGTCGCCCCCGACGACTGGCCCGCGCTGCGCGCCCGGCCCGCTCGTCGCAGCCAGCACCAGCACCGGGAGCTGGGTGGGTACCCGCGCGCCTCTCTGCCCACGTGTGAGGCCACGCGCCCCTGCATGCCTTCCGTGCGCCCTGCAGCTCACCCGCTGTCTCACTGCCCTCCTCTGCCCACCGCCCACCGTTTGGACAACCTCAGCCACTAGGTGGTGGCGGGGAGGGACTCCTTCTGCTCCACTGTCCCCACACGCAGAGTTCTTCAGCCTCTGCCCGAGCCTTGGGGCCCAGAGACCCCAGCACTGGGCTTGGCCCGAACAGCTTAGAATTGTGCCTGTCTTCATCTCCTTACCCAGTGTCTTCTTGGTTCCACGTTGTCCTGACTCCTACACTGTCCTTGACTACCACTGGGCCCACTGATGGTGAACCCAGGCTCAGGCACCCTGTCCTCCCAGGCCCCACCACCCCTTCCAGCCCTGCCAGGGACTGCCTGGGCTTCTGTGCCCTGTTTCAGTCCTTGAGGGCCCAGACTCACTCCCTGACCATCTCACTCCCCGTTCTTGCCCTTGACCTCCAGTTCCTAGTGTCCAGACCCCATCCCTCCAGGGCCTTCAGTCATCCCCCTCTTCCTTGCCCTGGGGTTTCCCCGTCCCCGCCGTTCCTTTTGGGGACCCAGAAGCCTGTCTTGCCCATCCCACCGCCATCTTGGATACCAGCTCCCAACCTGACCTGCTCTGCCCACCCCGGCAGGTGAGATGCTGCTGCAGAACCTGACCGTGCAGGCCGAATCGCCCTTTGGAGTGGGTGCCCTCACTCACCTGCTGCTCTCTGGGAGCCCTGAGGACCGCGTGGCCTGCGCACTCACCCTGCCCTTCATCTGTCGGTGAGGGAGGCGTGGGTGCCTCGCAGGGGTCGGGGGAGCAAGGTTGCTGTTCCCCAGCCCCGCCCTTTCCCACTTTCTGAAAGGTTCTCTTTTCTCCCCGAAGGAAACCCTCTCTGTGGCGCCGGCTGCTTCTGGACCAGGGCGGCCTCCGTCTCCTCCTCTCAGCGCTCACTCGGCCAGCTCCACACCCGCT